GTGATGATGTTTTTAATTTTTTTTTGTGGCATGAGTATTTGTTTTAAATGGTATACAAAGGAAACGTTTAAGAGTAATTTTTTTTCCACCTCCACTCTCCCTCCTCCCCATTCCCCCCCTCAACCCCCCATTTTATTACGAGTAATTTATTTACATTTTCTTTTTTTTTGTTATATTTTTTAGACTTCGTAAAAAATTTAAAAAATTTTTCTTTTCTTTTATTTTTTCCCTTTTTTTTTGTTTTTTGATTTGTGATCGATTCGATTCGAGATTCATATTTCGAGATTTTTTTTTTCGATATTATTACGTCATCATTTTATTTACATTTTTTTGTTAAATCTAAGAAATATGATTTTCGGGTAGTGAAAAGTCGGAATATGAAATTTGACGATTTTGATTCACTTGTCAGTCATGTTACAATAGTTTCTGTCAAAAGTTTTTCTTCTTCTTTTTCTCTTCGTCTCCTTCTATTTCTTTTTCTTTCAGAGTTTCCCCCCCCCCCCTCTTTTTTTTTTACCAGTGATATTCCTTTTTTTTTTTTTCATTTTATCCATTCATTGTTTTTAAATGTATGACGTAGAAAAAAAATTTTTTCCTTTGATTTTAAATGAATTTATTTACTCTATGTTTTTTTTAAGATGATAATAATAATAATTTGCAAATGAACAATATATTTTATTACGACTCATTAACGCGGTTTGAGGGGGGACGGGGAGGGGGAAATTTAAAAAAAAAAAGAAATTTTTAGATATGAATTATACGTTTTATAAAAATACCTGAATTTACGGAATTTATGTTATCTCAAATATTATTTTTCCTCTTTCTCTCTCTCTCACTCTCTCTCTCTCTCTCTCTCTCTCTCTCTCTCTCTCCCGTACTCCTTTGTATTTTTCTATTTTAAAAAAAATGCCAGGATTTAAACTAAAGGCGACCGCGATGTATATCGTTATTTCGGACACTTCTCGGGAATTATGGCGGTCATTATTTTGAATTTGGGACGTGGGTTGTTGTTCGATATTATAAAGATAACGACGACGACGACGCAACGGTTTTTTTCTTCGACGGGGAGAGGGAGAAAAAGAGAGAGAGAAAGAGAGGGGTTCTGGAGAGTAACAACTAAAATATTTTTTTATTACACAAACGTTTGAATTATTATTATTATTATTATTATTTCTATTTTTTACATTCGCAAATACTTCAAATGAAGAGCGAAAAGTGCGAAAGAGAGAGAGGGGGAAGGAAAGGGAAAAGGAGAGGGGAAGAAGGGGGAAGCAGCAAAAAAAATTATCTTTGAGGGTCGCAAACGTGTAAAAGTAATTGTTTTTATTAAAAATCCCATTTACGCTCCTGATTTTATTCATAATCATTTTACTCTCCCTCTCTCTCTCTCTCTCTTTTCCTCTTTTTGGTCAAACTTGTTTCAAATCAACCCCCTTTTTTTACGCACACATATTCAAAAAATTGTTATTTATTATTTCTTCTTTTCGCCAACACAGAGAGAAAGAGAAAAAATAAAAATTTCTTCATCTCTCTCCCTCTCTCTCTCTCTCTCTCTCTCTCTCTCTCTCTCTCTCTCACTCTCATTTCATTGCTCACTTTCATCATTTATTAACTTTCATCATTATATTTACGTATACATAAATTAATAATTATTTGACATAAAATTTGAATAAGATCCAGAGTTTTGTAACAAAAAAAAAAAAAAAAATTTGTCCTCCATTAATCAATCTACGCATTTAATAAATTTTATTTTTTTTATTTTTATTTTTGATTTGCGAAAATTTTCGTTTCCCCCTTCTTCCCTCTCCCCCGCGTCCCACCTCTCCCTCCTCCCTTTCTTTTTCTCCGACCCCCCCTCCCCGAAAAATAAATAAAATAAATTTTTTCAGGTAAAAAAAAAAAAATTAAAATAAATAAATATTGCGATATTATTATCATCATCATCACCACACCATCATCATCATTATCTTTATTATTATTATTATTATTATTAAAAGTTTTAATAAGATTACTTATTAAAATGTTTACATAAATTATTAACGATTCAAATAAATTGATTTTAAATAAATTAACATTTAAACGTTTTATCAAAACGACGACGACAACAACAACAACAACGACAACGACAATAATGATAATGATAATGATGATGATAATAATAATAATGATGATGATATTCGCATATTTATTAATTTTCCTGTTATTGGGATTAATTCTTTTATTATAATAATTTTAAAGTGTTTTTTTTCGTGGGGGAAGGAGGAAGAGGAGAGGAGTGAATGGTGGACGGAGCGCGGCGAAGTGGAGGGCGGTAAGGCGGGGAGAGGCGGGAGGCGGATGACGAAAACATAATTTGAATGATAATTTAGAGTTTTTTTTTGGCATTTTGATTTCTTTTTTGGTAAAACCGTTTCTTTATTATTATTATTACTATTATTAATTTTAAAAGGATTATTTTAATTGATTTCTTACACAAAAAATTTTTTCGACCCGCGCAAACACGCTTTCTTATTATATTATTTATTAATATTAATCTAAAACCACGTTAATAAAATAAATTTTAGCCTGGGGAGGAGCGGGGTGAAGAGAGGAAGGAGGTAAGAGGGTAAAGGGAAAAAAAGGAAACTTTTTTTTTTTTTTTAAATAGAAATTTATTAATTATAATTCAAATAAATAATAAACGTCGATGTCGGATCGTGAGTTTAATAATAATAATAATATTTTAGCGCGATAATAAATTAAAATTTGAAAATCTCATCACGAATCGGCGAGAGAGGAGAAGAGAGAGAGGGGAGGTGGGGGGAAAAAGAAAGAAAAACTATAAACAGATCAGTAAAAAGGAGAAAGGTTTTCCACTTAATCGAAAGTTGATGTGAATGATGGCGGATCTTCATTTCCGGTAAAAAGATATTGAGTGATGAATTGATTGGTCAAAAATAAACAACCGCAAATTCAAACCGACGCCGACTCCGCCACCATCGATACTTACCTTTTCCTTTTACGATAAGATTTATTATTTTTTTTTTATTTCTCTCTTCTTCTTCTTCTATTTTTTCCTTTTCATTTTCCATCTCTTTCTTTCTTTCTTATTTTTTTTCTTCTGCTACTTTTTTCTTATTTAAAAGAAAAAGTCGTGGCGTTAGATGATAGGTAATACATAAGGAAATTTTTCCACTTTTTTTTTAATAATTAAACGTATTAATATTTTTATAAATAAAATTTATTTATTCAAACATCGATCAGCGCCATTTTAAATATTAATAATAATAAAATGTTTTTTAAAGGTCCTTGAACGAAAAATAAAATTTATTAATTTTTCGTTTATTAAGATTTTTTATTGCGCGCGAGCGCAATAAAAAGAAATAATTATGTTTTTTTTTTTCTCCATTTCAAGGTCAACTGGATAAATTTTCCCGCGCTTTTTTTTTTTTTTAAACGGATTAAAGGAAAAATAAAAAATGAAAAAAAAACACAAAATCAGATCAAAAAGTTGTTTATTTATTTATTTATTTTGTATGTGTGAGAAATTGAAAAGCGAAAAATTTACGTCATCGTTGCGTGATGAATTTTTCGCTTTACATGTGACGTCACAAAAAAATTTTCCTTTTTTATTCGAGAATAAAACGATTATAAAAAAAAATGAGAAAAGAGGAGAGGGATTTTTCTCTTGGAAAAAGTATTTTGTTAAAATAATTTTTATTTCGTCTTCTGCTATTTTATTATTTTCTACCGTTAAAAAAAGGGGGATGAAATGGGGGGGCAGGGATGAGAGGGAGAGAGAGAGAGAAAACGGAAAAAAAAGTTTAAAAGGTTAAATTTTTTTTCTTTATTTTGGGGGGAAGATTTTTTTTTACAAATTTCAAAACGTTTTGTTTCCGTTTAATTTTTTTTTTTCGGGGAGCCCGATTTCCGTTAATTGGTTATTTTTTTTTGTTGTTCTTAATAGCAGGTTGATGTTGTTTAAAAGTTTCTCGTGACGTCATTAAATTTTTTAGAAATTTTTTTTCTTATTCGATTAAATGTGAAAATGAGTACGAAAAGTAATTTAATTTTTTCCCCCCTCTCTCTCTCTCTCTTTCTAATATTTTCATTATAACATCATTCGAAAAAGAAAACGTTACAAATGATTAACAACAACAACAAACAAACAAACAAAAAAAAAACAACAACATTTTAGGAAATCAAAATTTCAAATTTAATAAAAAAAAAAGAAAAAAGATTCAAATTGATTAAAAACCCGATATGAAAATAAATTGAAAATTTATGCTTTTGCTCCCCAAGAAAATCCAAATTTTTTCCCCTTTTCCTCCTCTCTCTCTCTTTCTCTCTCTTTTTCTTTTCCCTCTTCCTCCTTTCCCCTTTCATCAACTTTTCATTTTCCTCCCCATCATCATAATCATCATCATCATCATCATCATCATTTTATTTTTCTTCTTTTTATTTTATTTCATTTGACTTTTTTCTCTCTTTTACGTTTATTATCATTATTATTATTTCTATTTTTCCTTTTTTATTATTTGACGAACCTAAAGAAATTCAAAGTCATTTTGAAAAAAAAAAAAAAAGTTTTTCTCCCAAAAAATTTTCATTTTCGAATTTTCCATTATTATTTTATAAAATAAGACAAAAGAATTTTGATTAGAGCTATCTCTCTCTCTCCTTCTCTCTCTCTCTCTTTCTTATATATATTTTTGTTGTTTGTTTGAATTTTATTTATTATTTGAAATAAAAAAAAAAAATTTTTATAAAAAAAAAATAAATTAAAAATTTTCTCATCAACATCATTATCATCATCATCATCATCATCATCATCATTATTATTATTATTATTTTTTACGATTGAATCGCGAGGAAATTTTACGCATACGTCAAACACCCCACTCAGGCATACATTTTACAGGCGTGTTAAAATCTCTATAAGCTAAATATAAGAAAAGGAAAAAAAAAAGATACACGTGAATAATAATAATAAATAAATAATTATGATGATGATGATGAAGATGCGTTCGCGTATATGGAGTCGACGTTTTTTTGTTGTTTGTTGTTGTTGGTGGTGGTGGTGGTTGTTATATAAATTAAATGAGATAGAAGATAAAAAGAAAAGATAGAAAAGTGAAATTATACCGTCGAAATGGTGAAGAATTCTTATAATTAGCGAGGAGAGCTTTCGGGGTTAATTTTAATTAGAACGACTGACTGTCTATCTCCTATCAGAGGTTCATATTTCATCAGCTACAAGTCGTCAACTGTCTTTCTGAGATAAGAAAAACGTCTCGACTTTTGAATCTAATTAAAATTGTTTTTCATTTCCTTCATTTTTTTTTTCTTCTGCTTTTTCTTTATTATTATTATTATTAGTTTGTTTCATTCGGTTTTTTTTTTGTTTCGTTTTGCTTTGATAAATAATTTAAATTTCCAAATAATGTTCACGATATCGAATTGATTTTTTTGTTACAGGGGAAGGTGGGGAAGGATGCGAAGAAGGTGGAGAAGCAGATGGGGATAGTAAAAATTCGGCTGACGAATCATCATCTCCTGGAACTCCAAATTCTGATTCTCAACAGGATGCAGATGATGATGGAAAAGGAAGCCAACCGGGATCACCCGTGACTCCAGTACCGATGGGAACCGAACCGCCATTACCATTGTCCGTTAGGTAAATTTTTTTTTTTTTTATGGAGAAGAGGGAATTTTGTTTTTTTTTTTTTTGCCGTAGTGTTTATTTGTTTTTTTTTGGGGGGTTTTGTTTGTTCAGGGGAAGTTCGAGTCCACGATGTCCATCGCGAGATTCTAGGGGTTCGTCTATACCACCGAGATGTTCGTCCCGAGAATCTGTTGCATCCGATCAAAGTCATGCACGTCTCGTACCGCCTTCGGATATAAGTCCGATGGGACTTAATATACCCACGGCTCTTCCAGTTAGTGCTTCTTCGAGTATGCTTCCTCAACATCCTGCTGCCGTAGCTGCTTATTTGGGTGTCGTTCCGCCTCACCGTCTAGTCATGACGTCTCCTTTGCCACCGGTATTAACGAGAAGTTCGGTTTCGCCTCATGTATCGTCGTCGTCTTCTCCGCCCATGCTCCCGTTGGCTCCCGTCGGCGGAATCGCGTCTCCCCCTCCGATGTCATCACCGATGGGCAGTACCGATTCCGCAGTTTTAGATTTTAGTACTAAAAGATCTAATACCAAACAAACGGAAGATTCGGAGCAGGAAGCAATTCTTAATTTGTCGAAGGCGTCTAATCCTAGTGTAGCGGCGGAAGGTAACAGTCCGCTGGATCTTTCCTGCGGGGGAAGAAAAAGGAATTATGACGATTCTGCTACTTCCTCACCTTCCATAAGTCCTCAACCGTCTAGAAAGTCATCTAGAGTTTCGAATGATTTTAAGCCGGTGGTCACGCCTTGGACGTCGCCTGCGTTAGCATCACATTTTCCATATTTCGCGGCGGCCGTTGCTGCAGCCACCCAAAATTTACCTCCTAAAAATAGTAACGCAGAAAATTCACCGTTGTGGAACGGTAAATTAAAATTACCGGAAAAATCCGGGTCTCACGGCAACACGACGGATTCTTCCAAAGCTTTGGAAAAATTAAATGAATTAAGTAAACTGGGAGGAGAAGATTTGTTTCGGTCTTCCCTCATGGGAAACAATAATATTTCTGGATCAGCGGGTCGACACAGCGCTTGGCAATCGCATTGGCTAAACAAAGGCGCCGAACAAGCAAAAGATGTTTTAAAATGCGTTTGGTGCAAACAAAGTTTTCCAAGCCTAGCAGCCATGACAACTCACATGAAGGAAGCCAAACATTGCGGAGTAAATGTCCCTTCCTCACCTTTACAATCTCAAGCAGCCACCTCGCCCATTCAACCAACTGTAACATCTCCATCTTCCAGTAACGGTCCCACCCCCTCTGGAAAACAAGATTTGAATTTGCTTATAAAAGAAACCATGCCGCTTCCTAGAAAACTGGTCAGAGGTCAGGATGTTTGGTTGGGCAAGGGAGCCGAACAAACTCGTCAAATATTAAAATGCATGTGGTGCGGACAAAGCTTTAGATCGTTGGCCGAAATGACGAGCCACATGCAACAAACTCAACATTACACTAATATAATTTCTCAGGAGCAAATAATTTCGTGGAAATCGGCAGATGATAAACAAGGCGGTGGCAACACCGGTGGAGGACCTCCGGGTCCGGGAGCAGCAAGCGGAGCGAGTAGCCACGTAAGCGCCGTATTGACGTGCAAAGTATGTGATCAAGCTTTTAGTTCGTTAAAAGAACTCAGTAATCATATGGTTAAAAATTCTCATTATAAAGAGCACATAATGAGGTCGATTTCAGAGAGTGGGGGGAGACGACGGCAAACGCGGGAAAAAAGGAAAAAATCACTTCCGGTGAGAAAGCTTTTGGAATTAGAAAGAGCTCAAAATGAATTGAAAAATGGTGAAGCTAATTTAAATTCAAAAATATCTCGCGATTTTGTGTCTGGTGCTAGAATAACATGCGAAAAATGCGGGGAAAAAATTGAAACTTCTATATTCGTGGAGCATATTCGTCAGTGTATTGGAGCAGGACTCGTGAGCAATAATCAAAAAAATTTATTAAAAAACGCTCTCCTTTCGGAAGCCACGATGCCGACAAATTTTTTACCACGTGAAGAAAGAAAAAAAGGTGATGATTCTGGTAGCTACAAACAGCATAGATCACCGTCTGCAACGGATCTTTCTTCCACTCCGGTAAGTCCGAAAGAGAGCGGACCAGAGGGAAAGCAAGTCGGAGATTCACCTTCCGTTTTAAACGCAATCGAAAAATTAATCGAAAAGAGTTTCGATTCGAGATCTAGGCACGGTGCAAATTTTTCCGGGGGAGCCGGTAGCGGAAACGCACCCATAGGTTCGAGCATATTGAAAAGACTTGGAATCGATGAAAGCGTTGATTACACCAAACCGTTGGTAGATGTTCAAACTATAAACATTTTAAGAAGTTACCATCATCAACCTGGTTACCGCAAAGAAAGAAGCGGAAGTGAATCTAGTTCAATGTCCGAACGCGGGGCTCGATCGGAAACTCTTACACCGGACAGAAAATCCGAGGTTCCCTTGCTGCCTACGACTCAAAGGGCAACCCCAGATAAAAAACTCCTCTCTTCCCCGTCCGGGAAAATTTCAAATCACGAAGAATCTAACGACGACGAGCCTCTTGTTAAAAAAGAAATAATAGTTCCAGACGATCCGGAAGAATTGGACTTGAAAACAAACAAACAGGATACTATAATTGGAAAAAAAGACAAAACCGAGGGAAAAGAAAAAAACGAAGGGAAAAATGTTAACGGCCAAAGATTAGATTCGGAAGAAGAGGAAAGGCGAAGTTCTAACGTTTCACATAGTCCTGTCACTAGTCCAAAACAAGATTCGGGAACGAGTGCTCCAAGTCCTGCGAGAAGTTCACCTTCCGTCAGCGAACGTTCGACGACTCCTCAAGTAACCGAAAAAAAATCAAGTCTCGGAGCTCTTTCATCAATGTTCGACAGCTTATCGGGCGGTAGTGGTACTAGTTCGGGGGAAGCGAGCGCTGCCAGCGGGAAGACGACGAGCAGCCACCCGCTGGCAGCACTACAAAAGCTGTGCGACAAGACTGAAACTCATTCGACCGCTAGCAATAAAACGAATTCGGGAAGTACCTCGACCTCGGGCGGCGGAAACGTACAAGCTCCGAGCACGGCTCCGGGAGCCATATTAGCTTTCAGTTGGGCTTGCAACGACGCCGTCGTGACTTCCGATTCAATAATGAAATGCGCTTTTTGCGACACTCAATTTATTTCGAAAGGAGCCTACAGGCATCATCTATCCAAGATGCATTTCGTCAAAGACGGAGTCATTCCGGACGCTGTCGCGCTTAAAGTACAAACGACCTCAGGAAAAGGTGCGCCGACGTCGAGAACCGCTTCAAGTCCAAATTCGGTTCCATCATCCCGTGCCAAGAGTCCTCCTCAGCCGACATTCGAGGAAAGCCCTCATTCGAAATTTTTAAAGTATACGGAATTAGCTAAACAGCTATCTAGTAAGTACGTATAGCATTAACCTCCGCACACCTCAACGATTCACAATTTGGTGATATAACAAACACACACAATACAAACACAAACAACGGAAACAAACAATATTCTCTTACTGTATAATAAATATATAATTAATATTGTATTATAATATTGTATAATGTCTATTAATTTAAATTAAATTAATTATCGGATCTCTTTTTAATTCGTATACATATATAAAAAAACTTTTGCAGGTACTTAACTTATATATAAACAATGTCATTGTATAATAATATATATATACACACGTTACATGAGAAATTCGTGCCTGCGGGAGTTTAAAAAAAAAATTTGTGGAAAATCTTTTTTTTTTTTTTTCCTCATAAGTAAAATTAATTTATTTGTAGCCATTATTCATTAATAATAATAATAATAATAAAGCCAACGGCCATAGCGTGCTGGTCACACCGGTTCCCGTACGATCACCGAAGTTAAGCAGCATCGGGCGTGGTGCAAACTTGGATGGGTGACCGTCTGAGAACGCCACGTGCTGTTGGCTTAAAAGAGCAAAAAAAATGAGAACAAGACAAAGTAAGAACCAAAAAACAAATCTTGTTCTACTGTCGACCTGAGGCAGCTCGACGAGAACGTGAATTTCACTGCTTCTGACCTGGCCACTCCAAAGATGTTAGTCACCGGAGCCCAGTTCAGGAGACAAATCGTTCCCATCGAAAAAGACGGACTCAGGAAGACCTTCAAGAATTGATGTGGTGCTATCTTATAATAAGTGGCACCACCGAAATTCGAGTATTTGTCCCTAAGGAATCGGGTAGAAACCTCGGATAAATACTTAAAAACTCCGACAAGTAGCCTTGTCGTGTTTAATGGTGGATAATAATAATAATAATAATAATGATAATAATGATATAATGAAAAGAAAAAAAAATAAATTTGCCAAATTTCAAAATAAAAAAAAAAAATTGTTTTTGCAATAAATAAATAAATATTAATAATGATAATGATGATAATAATAATAATAATTTTTAAGTAAATTAATTAATTAAATTATTACGAGACCTTTACTATAAATAATATTAATAATAAATAAATAAATAAAAATTATTCGAAAAGGAAAAAAAAAAAACAAACGTTTGTAGTTGTTGTTTTTATCTCACGTAGATATGGTTGATAATAAATAAATAAAAAACCTTGAAATGATTTTTCCCTTTCATCAGTTGTCAAATTTATTTTTTTTTTATTTTGATAATTTATTCGTGCCCATTAAGACAAACGCACGCACGCACGCACGCACAAACGCATAAAAAACAAACAAACAAACACGCAACATAAACGGCTACCTACAATATTTAATAAAATGATTGCTTAAATTTGAAAACTTAGTTTAAAAAAAAAAAAGTGAAAGGCCCCCTTCCGCCTTTAAGCATCCCCCCGATCTTTAACCGTGAGAAAAAAAAATTTCGGGGAGGGAAGGGGGGAGAGAGAGGAAGAGGGAAGGAAACGGCGAGAGAAAAAAAAAGGGCCAATTTAATTCAAACGACAAACGATCAATGATTTTTTCAAACCCTGACTCTCTATTTCTTAAAAAAAAAAAAGGTTCAGGTACGAACAAAAAATTTTATTATTATTATTATTAAAAAATCTTTCTTCACACCTTTTTGCGTTTGTCGTCGTCGTCGTCGTCGCATTCACCGTCATTATCTAAATCACTACCATCATCATCATCATCATTATCACCGTCGCCGCCATTATCGCTATTTTAACGCCGCGTTTTAACAGAACCGTAAAAGATAATAATAATGATAATAATAATAAATACGTTACGATATAAATTTTAGTAAATTTTAATATTTATACATACATATATATATATATTCATATATTATTAATATTATTATTATTATTATCATTATTGTTCTCTGATAATTTAAGCAATCAAATTATATATTGTAGATATTATAAATATATATATATGATTTTTTTTCGGTAAATAAATAATAATAATAATAATGTTTTAATTGTCAAATTGCTGTGATGACGTCATATCTAATCTTCCGTATATATATATATATTATATAATGTTGTCATCCATGATCATTTTAATTATACATAATAATAATAATAATGAAAAAAAAAATTTAATATTGATGACGGATACAATCAAACAAACAAAACTAATAATATTAATTTTTGTATATAAAAAATTCCTGTTTTTTTTTCTCTTTTCTTTTGTCTCGTTCAGGTGTACCAACATAAAGATTAAAAAATTATTATTATTATTATTATTATTATACCGATTCGAAAATAAATAAATAATATAATGAGTTTTTTTTTTTTCGTAACGCGTACCTTCGAGTACCTGAAAATAATATTATTTCGTTATTATTATTATTATTATTATTATTATTATTAATAAAAAAATTTACGATTGAATTTGTGTATAATGAAAAATTTATTTAAATAACATAAACGTTTGATGCCGATGATAATAATAATAATAATGTAAAAATCGCCGGTGAAACGAAATCAGGTTTTCATGTGAATGTTATTTAAAATTTCCCGGTGTTTTGTCCATATTGAAATAAGAAAAAAACGCGCGCGTTTATGTTATTTAAAACATTTCTTTTTTTTTTTAAATTAATATTTTGTTTGTTTGTGTGTGTGTGTGTGAGAGAGAAAGAGAATGCGTGTGCGTTTGTGCGTGAATTTGCGTGCGTGAGTGAGAAATAAAAAAAAAAAAAAATTTTAATTTAAATTAATATTATAATAAATAAAAAACATGCCAATTTTGCTCACACACCGTATACTTAAATAAATAAATAAATAAATAGTTTTTAGGAAATAAAAAAAATAAATAAAACTTATTTGCACTTTATTGTATGTATATCAATAATAATAATAATAATAATAATAATAATAATAATAATAATAATGATAATGATAATGATAATAAAAGTAAATAAATAAAAAAAAAAGTTATGAAAATTGATGATTTATTAATTATTAAAGTATACGCTTGGGCTTTTTATTGACAAGAAAATATAAATAAATAAAAAATTTATTTAAATAATATTATTAATAATAATAATAATAATGATAATGTGAAAAATTAGTCAAAAAAAACAAACAAAAAACAAACAAACAAACAATTGTATACGTCTGATTATTAAAATAAAAATATTTTTAAATTAAATTTTTAATTTTTTTGTTTTTATTTTCAAACCTTTTCTCATCTATTTTTATTTCTGGAAAGAGATCGATAAATCGATAAATCGATCGATCGATCGATCGATGGATCGATCCCATCGATTTAAAAAATCATATCGTCGATGTAAAATAAATAAAAAAAAGGAGAAAAAAAAACTAATTATTTCTTTTTGTTTTTTAAAAATCAAAGTTAAAAGTAAGTTTTTGTTTTGTCGTGGCATCAGACACAACCACTACTAAAAAAAAAAACACTTTTTTTTTTTTTTTTTTTTTAAAAAGGAGAGACTCCAGTAAATAATGTCGCTTAATTTAAAAACGTGACCCTAATGACCTCAATATATTTACGTGTATTTATTTTGGAATTTTATTTTTTTTTTTTGTTGTTTTTACCTGGAATTTTTTGACTGGAGTGACGGACGGACGGACGGATGGATAACGAATTTTTTAAGTTTCCAGAAATAAACACTCACAAAAAAAAAATTAAAAAAGGAATTTACGTTACCATTGAAATCAAAAAAAAAAAATGTCGCCCTGCTATAAAATTTTATAGTCTATAATTAATTAATTATTAATTAAAAAAGAAACGAAAGAAAGGAGACGAAAAAAAAGGTTGAAAATTTTCCTTTTAAATGATGGATGAAGACAATCGAATAATCAAAAAAAAAAAGAAAATTTTTTTTTCCTTTTTTTTGTTTCCATTGAATTTTTTTTTTTTTTTTGGAGAAAATGGCGGGGATCGTAATCGAATTGATGGGTGGAGGGGTAAAAAGAATTCTGACGGATGAAATTGCGGGTGTTTTTTCTTTTTATTTTGTCATTCGCCCCCGCCCTTTCCCTCATTCCCCTCTTCGCTTCCCCTTTTCCCTTTCTTAAAATGATTAAAGATCAAATTCTTTAATTTATCTTTTATCTTTTTAGGAAAATCGTGAAAAAATCATTTGAAAATGACAAAATAATAATTAAAATGACGAGAAAAATGAAAATGAGGGCGGGCGCCGCCATAGTTGGAACGTCGTCGTCGTCGTCGTCGTCCCAACGCGTTTAATTCGTTAAATTATTGAAGTTTCAATTTTAATAATCCTTCCCTGTCTCTAAGGATCAAAATCATTTTAAACCGAGTTTTTTTTTCTTTTCTTTTTTTTTATTAACTTTTATTATCATTATTATCATCACGGTCCGTCGTCATCGTCATCGCCGTCGACGACGTTCTCATCATCATCGTGGACGTCGTCGTCGTCCTCGTCGTCTTATTAGTTATTTTGTCCTTCTTTTAATAATTAATTTATTTTGATTTACTAAATAAAATCGACAAAAATTTAAACTTTTTCATTCGATGATAATAATAATGATGATAATAATTTTACACGATTGTAAAATATCTGGAAAAATAAAAAAGGTGTGAGATGGTATAGAAAATGTTGAAAATCGTGTCTCGCAGCAGGGGCTATAAATCTATCCGAAAACTGTCATTTGTCTTTTAACATCATCATCATCATCATCATTATTATTATTATGTATTTCTTCCCTTTCTTTCCCTTCTTCTCTTTTTGGTCTCGTAATCAAAACGAAATTGTACTGGAAAAATCCAAAACTGGAATGAATGATAATTGACGTAAGAGGAAAAAGATGTTAAAAGATATCTCTTAACGTCTGTAAATTATAAATCATTTCATTCATTTAAAAAAAAAAATAAAGTAAATAATGATGATGATGATGACGGTGACGGTGACGATGATGATGATGATGATGGTAATTGTAACCTTTCGACTGGAATTTTCTCCATTACAAAAAAAAAAAAAAAAGGTGCACCTT